AATATGAAAATGTCGAGGCTATAATACTTTTCAAATGGGAAGCATTTATAATAGACAAATCAGGTAGTCTAAAGTTCGCGCGTTCAGGGACGGTACATTGCACAGTGATAAAGGTACTCTTGCATCTTTGCCGATATACCTAAAAAAATTTTAGTAATTATATGTACAATGATGCTGATGTTATTGATTGAGTCATATTTAAACATGAAAAAATAAAAAAAATTAATTAAAAATAATAAATACGAGAAGTTGTCAACTTATGAAATGTCACAGACAATTTATATGGTAAAAATATTTTCTTCAATATCGATTTATATTGAGGTTGTTTTTTTAATATGTAGATAAGATGGATTTCACATTTTATTCAATTCGGCAATGCCTAATGGAAGCTATGTTGATACAAACGCGAAATTTATTAACAAATCTAGTAACAAACTTTTTTCTATTGATTATTATATTTTTATTGTACTACTATTAAATGTACTACTACGAGATACTATAGAATTGTGTAGAATTGGGCGGAGGGCATTTTGAACATATGTTGTAACAAATTTTAAATAAATGTTATTATTTTTTAAATACAATATCTCATAGTATTAATAGTAGCACAACAGAACTATAATATTCAATAGAAAAAAAAACTGTTACTAGATTTCCTAATAAATTTCGCGTTTGTATTAACATTATAATTTCCATTAGGCATTGCCAAATTGAATAAAATATGAAATCTATCTTATCTACATATTAAAAAAATAACCTCAATATAATCGATATTGAAGAAAATATTTTTACCATATAAATTGTCTGTGACATTTCATAAGTTGACAACTTCTCATATTTATTATTTTTAATTTATTATTTTTTTATTTTTTCATGTTTAAATATGACTCAGTCAATAACATCAGCATCATTGTACATATAATTACTTAAATTGTTTTAGGTATATCGGTAAAGATGCAAGAGTACCTTTATCACTGTGCAATGTACCGTCCCTGAACGCGCGAACTTTAGACTACCTGATTTGTTTATTATAAATGCTTCCCATTTGAAAAGTATTATAGCTTCGACATAATTTTTCAATTCGTACAATTCAAAGTGGCGTCAAGCGCGATAAAGAAGTCGTATGAACTTAAACGTGATACAAAAATTAAAACTAATTGAGAATTTTATAGTGTATGGTACGGTATTAAAGTCTTTTTACATTAAAAACAATAAAAAATAGTAGATATTGGCTGCGCTACGTTCGATTTAACAGACCTTTCAGCCTTGACGAACACACCTTCTCTCCCAATTAATCTGTTAAATCGAGCTTTTACTGTATTGATATTATTAAGATTAAAAAGGCAGTTATTTTAACTTATATTACATAGGCAAAATAATATAATTTTTAATAAATTACATATGTATGTGTGAAAATTATAAATATTACAAAATTATTTAATTTTGGTATCTTGCCAGCGGAAGTGGTATTCTTGATTTCGAGAGTGCTTGGTAGTATACACTTTTGTTCTGATGAATTTACAAATCAAGATCTTATTGTAATTTTGGTCACTTTCTATAGATACTATATTTAAAATTTATTTTATATAGAGGAAAGTCCTTTATCACGAGATAGGATTTTAATATATGATAGCAGGTTTCAACGTCGAAATTCAATCACAAATCTTTTTTCGCAACGATCACACGATATAACAATCATTTTTCCACTAAACAGATTTCACTCCAAGGGCAATAAATTCATGGCGGAACCAACAGATAATGCCAATTAATTTAGCAGAAACTCCGCTATCCCATAGGAGCCTATCTCACACTATAGGATTTTCCTATATGTATTGTAAAATTGACGTATATGTAAGTAAAAAATTGAGAAATGGACGTTTCTTAGTCGTAGTCATTTTTCACAAGAATCAGGGCTACATTTTTTATTATAAAAGATTTTCATGGTTTACACATTATAATTGGAAAACTTTCTTTTATTTTCTTATATTCAAATAACAAAACTTTATTTCTCATCTTATCACTTTGGGTTTGAAGCTACAGCTTATACTCTTTTGAAAAATGACTTTTCGACTAAAAGACGCCCTTTTCTCAATCTTTCGCTTACTGAAGACATAAAAAATTACGAAATGTTACTTCTAAATCCGAAAAATTTCTGAAAAATGTAATAGTAAAATGGTATTGTGTGCAGTCTGTACAGAGTGCTTTGATAGACAGTAATCCGTCTAGCCCTGCCAGTATTGGTCGCAAGGAGATGGCGACGACGACGAAGGGTCGCAGAAAACAGAGTTATCCCAGTAAAGCACCAGCAAGTCCGGACATTGTCGCCAGTTACCAACATGAACATAATGAAGAGCAAGCACATGATTTTACCACATGGTCGAGCAAGATAAAGAATAAGGTATTCCTCCCGTACAAACGGTCCGTCGTTCTTCATACAACGTTGTTATGTGTACTAATTAATTAATTGTTTTAGATGGAGCAAGATCAGAAGCAACAGTTCGATCAGCAAAGCGGTAACGTGGCGAAGAAGGTTGATATGTCTTGTACAAATTGCGGCACCATGACAACAACCATCTGGAGAAGAAATATGAAGGGCGAGATGGTGTGCAACGCCTGTGGGTTGTATTACAAGTTGCACGGTGTTAATCGCCCGGTTACTATGCGAAGGGACACTATACATACGCGTAGACGCAGACCCAAGGGCGAGAAACCAACAAGGCATAGAAGTAAGAGAAGTTCCTAGCGATTAGGCATTTGGTAGACAGTATTTGTTTTTCTGCGCAATCGTTGAGACCAATATACAGGGTGTGTCCTAATACCCGTATGTCCCGTAGATGGTAGATAGACCGGGGCAAACTGAATAGAAAAGTCCTATATGAGAGCGTAGAAGGCGTAGAAAAAAAAGTTGTCACGCAGCGAGCGGCGAGCTTTTTTGACAACTTTTTTCGGCGCGTCGCTCCACCTCTCGCTATTAGATGATGCTCCACCGTTACCTGCCGAGCCCGGCCTGCAGCCTTCTACGCTCTCATTCGCTCAGACATTAAAATTAATTTCTCGATAACTATTGCGAATTTTGCAAAATGGTATAGGACTTTTCTATTCAGTTTGCCCCGGTCTATCTACCATCTACGGGACATACGGGTATTAGGACACATCCTGTATACATATATGTATATTGGATTATTTATTTTGTAGGTAACTTTTCCATCTCACAGGAAAGGGATTGTATTCTAACTTGACAAATTTTGGGTTGTTATTAAAAAGCAGTTTATTGGTTTATTCTATTTACTTTTATATATTTATAACCGATTAGAAAGAAATCAAGACTAGCGTGTCTCGAAAGCTACACTAAATAATATTCCGATCGACCAATTGAGTCCACTGCTGTTCCAATTTTAGTAGGCCGTTTTCATTTTGTTACTTAATTTACGTGTGAGTGTAATATCCAATATTAATGTACGACCATTTGTAATTTCAAACAACTTTGCATTGTTTAAATGTTATTCATTATTGGGAAATAAGATGGTCTCAATTTTTCGGAAAAATATTAAAAACGTCTCTGTGTGATAGTTAAAATGATTCAGTCTTACGAAATTAATGGTTTTTTTGTGTATTTTTAGAAAAAGGAGATGCAGTCTTAGCATCTCAGTCGACAAGAGAACAAATGGATGCCGAGAGTACGGACATGTTGAACGCTCTTCGACAGCAAATTCATCCTCAGCTGATGATGCATGCAGCGCTGACAACGCCTACGCGCATACCCGGTGGCCATCCGCCTCCGCCAGTTGGTTACTCAATACCTTTATCTAATTACATGATTCATGTAAGATACTTTCTCTGTCATATACTCGAGTATCGGAATAAGGAGTATTCTCATATTAGCGTTCAATGTATCCAGTGAGACTTGATTAAAAAGGCTAAATATTTTTTTAAAGATAAGACATTGCAAAGATTTGGTGGATTAGAAATCACACAAAGACAATAGGCTTGTGAACCAAGCTAGATTTTTAATGCTTAAACTCTTGAACTATGCTGAAACTGAAATGAATCCAAAATATTTTTGACATTTAAATACTTTTTATATTTATATAAAATACTTTATACAGCATATACTTTATTAAAGATTTTTTATTATTGGTCATTTCTACACTCTGTTTCTTTTTCGTTTCGGGGTTTGCTCGTATCAATCAGGATCTATTGTATTTCTAGCAACACATGAAAACCGAAGAGCGTATGCAACGACATTTGTCAGTGGATGAGGAAGCAGACGAAGGCGATGAGGAGAACGTTTCTGATGTTCCCCTCAATTTGGTGGCAACTTCCCTTTCAGAGGACACGCATTAAGAAAAAAATCTGATTCGGCACTTAGGTATGCTTTCTCGACGGCGTTTAGTCCATTAACCCTGGATGGATCTTTAATGTCCCTCTTGGCAGATTCTCAGCGTTTTCTCCTTCTCCCCCGAGAAATCATTCGTACCGGGGACTGTGACGACGTTTCGTGGAGAGCCATCGGGCTCGCACCGCGGCGTAATACGCACGATAAAATGAGATGATATTAATTACTCAGTATTAATTATTCAAGATGTACATATATATATATACACATACATGCGGAATACACATACACGTATATACACGTACACGTACACTGAACATAGATAACCACACGTAAAAAAACACGCATATGAGAAAATATTTTTATACAAAATTTTATATGTGCTCGCCCGTTGTACATAAACGTGCCGCGGACCCAACCGTGGTGTCGCTCGGAAGTACTCGTCGTTGTCGTCGTCATCGTGTCGTCTTGTTTCACACTGTACGCATCTTTCGATCGATTGTGTTATGGTGACGGTGACAGCAACAGCAACCTCCAACGACGTACCTGCAACGTCGTTATAGCTTTCGACATTGAATCGTATTACGCTCCAAATTTTAAAATCTTCTCAAAAGCTTTTATACGTTGCGCAATGAATGTTGGATTTTTCACTTGATTTTAATAGAATTGGAAGAGACAAAAATACTATTTACATCAAAATTAATATGAAATAGAACTGTAATTCAGTGGACGTAATCTCGGAGATAAAACTATTTAATATTATTAATAATATTAATAGTATTATCTAAACTTAATTAACAATCTTAAAAGTATCTTAATTATCAGTTTAAAAATCAGTAAAGAAATTAACAAATCGATAATGATTTTTATTTGATCTTAAACTATAGTTATATTTTGTATTATGTGGAAAAATTTTATCTGTCAAAATAGTATTTAATGCAATCTTTTAATGACCGTTTATATTCTTGTTCAAATAGGAAAACTAAAATTTATCATTTTTATTCTCGGCAAAATAGATACAGTGTACTTGGAATTGTGAAAGAGAAAGTGTTATTTCATTCAGTGGTATAAATTTTGAATAATCGTAAGATTTTGAATTCAGATCATTGAATTCAGATAAATTACGTAAAAATTTAAAACAGAAAAAATTGGCAATCCTTAACAAAATTAATTGCATTTTACTCTAATTAGATTTAACTATTGAATTATAAATATAACTTAAATTAAAAATTATATCACTTATGTCATATAATTTATATATTTTATAAATTATAATTATGTGTTTGTATCGCTACAGTTTTTGATACATTATTTATAATTATGATATATAACGTTGCAATTTTTATTTCGTAATTTTTTTAATGATAACAATTTATTTGTTACAAATGGTATCTAACAGCAAATCCGGTGTCTTGCATTAGTGCGCACTAATGCAAGCAACCGAATTTGTTACAGCATTATTTATTTTGCGACAATGAATGTGAAACACGGTGAAAGATCCCACATTTCATACGCAACATTTTAACGGATTCGTCTAGAGGCGAGAAATTTGAGCGATTGACAATAAACAGATATTAGAAAAATATTGGCGCAATAGGGGACACTTCGGGGCCTGAATAAAAAGCGGAATGCTAGCAACTGTGTCACAATACAACTGTGCCTCCTCTCATCTCCGTTGCTTGGAGGTGGCACCCGCGGAGCCTTAAATTAGAGACCTGTAGATGCTATTGTATTACGAGACTGCTGGAACTACGCGCGAAGATTAACGTTTCTAAATTTCCACCCTCTCGGAAAAGACTTGTACTTAATCCCGGACCGGATACTCGCACGCACTTATCTAAGCTAAGACTCTGGAAGCAATAAGAAGCACGGCATGACGTATATATACCGTCGTTGTCGTCATCGTTATTACGGATACTCACGGTTGCGCGCTCTCTCTTCCTCCCCTTCGATCTGTCTCGATAAACGAGAAACACGCGAGAAACTTAAGAAAGTAATACTTAGAGATAACGTTTACTCATACGCCGGATATATTAAAAGTACACAAATTTTACGACTCCGCTGCTGCTGCGTGGTCAGTTTAAAATCGGAGAGGCTTCGCTTTAATAGAGTAACGGAAATCTATGTAGGATTCTCTATATCTACCTCCTGTATACATTTACATGTCATCTATAGTAAGCGTAAATCTATTTCACTTTTCAAAGTTGAGATGGCTTGGATAAAAAGCTTAATTTCAGTCTTCAATCGTCGAGATCCACGAGACGTAAAACAATTGCACGCGATATATAGAGGCTATGGCTATTTTAAATAATTAAAAATCATCCATGCATCTCGAACGTCATATATACTCTCTCTCCCTCCTTCTCTCTCTCTCTCTCTCCTCTCTCCTCCCCCCCCCCCTCTCTCTTGTTCCAATCCGAGTCCGTACGCGCGATAAAATAACGAAAGCGTGGTGGACCGGGGTCTCCGCCGTCTCTCCAGAATTGTACAGATAACGTGTCAAGGAACGGGTGTTAAGCGACCTTACATAGCGCATAATACTATGGCCAGTGCATCTACTCATGGTATCGTAATATTTAACGTGTCGTATACCTAATCAACATTGCCAAAAATAGATTTAGTCTACGTACGTAGGATAGTTAAGCACGTACACAGAAAAAATTTAGCAATCCTTATTCTACTCTCCCCACTCTCCCCCCCCACACGCGCCGTCATTTTTTTTAATTGTTTTCCTTCCCTACTCTCTATTCTTTCGCTCGCCCCATCACGTATGTCGCTCCCGCACAAGAGAAGCGAGGACGAGTCAGAAATAGCCATTTTACAGAACGAGAGAACGATTTGAAACTCAATCTACTTGCAGACCGTACACAGCCAAATACTAAATCGGTTTTATCCTTTCCTTGCTTTGATAGATCCGTCATGTCGGGATGTATTTTTCTATCAAACGGTTCTTCTATTTTATCGTCGCTATTTGTAAACAAAATACAATCTTTGCATTGATCCTTTCTTGAATGACAGCTTTTACCCGCTCTTGTGACAGTTTTTTAATACATACATTAATTTTCGAGTTGATATTATAAGAAACGTAAAAACTCGTGCTTTGGACTCGTGTGTCAAATTCACACTTTTTTCCCGCGGGAGCGACGTGTCTCCTTTTTCCCCCCACGATCTTCAGAGTTTGATTTTTGTTCTCTCCCAATTCTCCCTCTCACTGCGGAGACTCTCGGAACGTTCTCGTGAGATTTCGAAAACCACTCGCAGCAGCGCGCGGAGTATCTTAGCGTTAGTTGTTATCAAAGGAGCCTTATAAACAAATACTTTTTCCCCGCTAGAGACGCCATTCTTTCCAGCTATAAATCGTTTCCACGATCCAGGTTTTTTTTCCCACAAAAGTATCTATGTAAGATAATCAATGAAATAGTAAAATTCAAATTGAGGAGTTTAAAAGATTTTATTTACAAAATGTAATTTTAAGTTTCAGGAAAATGCATTGGAAAATGTTACTGTGAAATTTTTTCCGACTTTTTTGTTTTGTTACTGTTTTTTCGAAAAACGCAACTTCCAATATAATTCGGTGAAAGAACGGCGTTAATATTCTGGGAATATTCTGTATATACATACGTTGAGAGAGAGCAGAGCTTGGAATTTCCCTAAACATTTTAGAAAAACTTTTAACACCGAGTGTTTTCGTACAATTTATTAATCTTAATCAATATTTTCTGCACATTGGTTGTCATGAAATTTACAATTTTACATTGCTGATGTAAATTGGCTTTGTGACATGAAAGTATTTTATATACTAATGACAGTGCTGGGAACTCTCTTGTCACATTTCTTTCAATTACGTACATGTACCAAATTAATTATGCATCAACAATTGGTGGGAGTAATTAAACTCGTGAATAATTTATATAGCATGATGTTAGCATGGAACTTGGATGGAATTTTAATTACGGAATATACATAATTTTTACATACATCTTTGAACTCATTTCAATTTTTATTTATCAATGTTTCACACACGCGCGAGTGTGGAAAGTTGAATTTATTTATTGTGACTTTTTAAATAAACTTTTAAATAATATTAATATTATTAGTATTACTGTTAAAGCTGTCAAAATATATAACATACGTGTATTTAAAGTGGCTCCTGCACGAAGGAGTTGATAGTATGTGTGCTTCGGTGAGGCCTCTTTTATTTTTGTAATATCATATGATTTCGTCGTTAAAAATTGATCAAAGCGCTGATTCGCTAGGTTGTATATGTACGTTTAAAAATATGTGACGTCAAATCTGACAAGATTTCCTGAAAACATATTTTTTTGACTTAACTAATAAGCATTTGTTTGAGGAGGCGAACTCACATATTTAATAGCGCATTTGAATCCTTCTGACATTTATTGTGTTTATCTCGTTTTTGTTTCTATGAAATAACGTTCAAAGTGCTTTTGCGAGTGATCAGCCCGTATTAAAAGGTACAACTTTAACATTTGTTCTTTCTTTTATTTCATCGGCGACCAGGTCTAATACTCGCGTATAGATAAAGCTTGCAACATACTTAAATTTCAATTGTTCTATTTTTGACGAAAGGTGAGTTTGCTTATTATCACCAGAAATGATTAAAAATTGAGACTGAAAACTAATCTTGTTGTTGATTTGCAGCATCACTCGAAAAGGACCCAAAAGAATAGGGTCGAAACGTTGTGTAATAAACTAATTAAACAACTAGCCAGTTGGGTTGACTGTAACCTGCACAGCACAAAACTTGCAGTTACATTGCAATAACATTGCTACAATGTTGCAATATTGCTGTAATGTAGCTGCAATGTAACTGCAAGGATTGTGCTGTATGGCAAGTTTCCCGTCTCAATTTCTATTTTTGGTTGGTTATGCAAGAGCCATCTTAAATATATAATATTATAATGTAACACACAATGCATAGTTTGCATTACTCTAGTACTATGTTTTCGTGGTTGTGTGCGTGTGTGCACGCGCGCACGCATATGCAAAAAGATGATTGAACTTCAAGGATGTATAGAGGAGTCGGAATAGAGCACTCTTGTTCTCCGAAGTAATCTTGAGCCAGTACAAGTCTGCAACTATAAAAGACTAATGTAAAGAACATTGCAAACAATATGCAAATGAAGTAATCCTAATTTACACAAAATCTATTTAACAGCATAAAGATACAAACTTATAAATGTATTACGAAAAGTATTTGAATTGGCGACATTCAATGCAGATGTTGCATCGTCGAACAACATTCCAGCGCACTCTCTCAGGTATCTCCTAGCCA